AATGGTAAACACATAAGAAGTTCAAATGGAGGGGGAAGTCGCAAAATTGAATTAGTTAGAGACGCAAAGAAATCTGACATTCTAAAAGAGGCAAAAACAATATTTTTCCCTGAAGGTATATCAAAGAAAGGTGTCCTTTTATCATCAGTCACCTGTAAAGTGTTAGATTTTGCGCAGACCGAATTTTCGGATGAAATATCCATTTCAGAAATGTACAACACCGTCAAAATGGGGATGCTGCGTTTTCATTTATGGACAAAAACAGAGGAAAACATTCCCAGGCCTTCATTTTTGATGTCAGAAAACTCGGATGATCTGCCAGATCTCCCTGTTGAAAACAGTACTGCAGATATATTTTTCAATGCAAATGAGGAAATTTTCAACAATTTCAGTGAACCAGTAAGAAAAAATGATAACATGCTACAAGATACTTCAGGTCCTTCTCAAATAGTATTGATGCCACAACATACAACTTCACAAATGCAAATGATGCCACAAGGTACATCACCGGCACCGCAAATACAAATGATGCCACAAGATACATCGCCGCCACCGCAAATATCAATGATGCCAGGCGATAAATCTCTGCCACTGCAAATACGAATAATGCCACAAGATACATCTTTGCTGCCGCAAATACAAATCATGCCACAAGATACATCACCGCCACCGCAAATAGGAATGATGCCACAAGATACATCTCTGCCACCGCAAATACAAATCATGCCACAAGATACATCACCGCCACCGCAAATAGGAATGATGCCACGAGATACATCTCCGCCACCGCAAATACAAATCATGCCACAAGATACATCACCGCCACCGCAAATAGGAATGATGCCACGAGATTCATCTCCGCCACCGCAAATAACGCTTATAACAGTAAGAGTCCACAGAGTCAAAATTCTTGAAGATCTAATCAATGCATTCAATGATCCAGATATTGTTCAAAAGCCAGTAAAGTTTGCATTCATTAATGAATCTGGTGCAGATCAATCTGGTGTTTCAAGAGATGTTTACACCTCTTTTTGGATTGAATTTTTTTCTAGAGCAGCTGAGGAAGAGGACAATCGTGTTCCAGCCCTTAACCCACACTGGAAAGCAGAAGAATGGAAGTCAATCGGTAGAATTCTTGTAAAAGGTCTGATGGATCATAACATATTTCCATTAAATTTTGCTCCAGCATTTATCTCAGCACTTCTGTTCGGAGAACACTCTGTCAGTGAAGAAACATTGATGAGTTCATTCCTGCTTTACCTTAACCAGTCAGACCGAGATTTGGCTAAAATTGCATTAACAAGACAGTTATCTGAAGATGAAAATGAGGATTTTCTAGATATGTTGGACAGATTTGGATGCACCCAAAATAGAAGAGATGAAGAAAGAATTCTTAAATATTGCTCATAAAGAAATTATTCAAAAACCCAAGTATGCTTTAGAAAAAATGGTTGAAGTATGCAGAACAGAATTAATCAGTCAAATTTCAACTGAAGCAGATCTTCTGGCAATGTATGAAGTAAAGAGGCCAACTGTGAGAAAGATCTTAAAGATGATAACTTCAAACCCTATGACACCAGCTGAAAACCAATGCATACAGTTTCTGAAACAGTACATCAAATCTCAAAATCAAAATTCTGTTGAAAAACTGTTGCGTTTCTTAACTGGAACAGATGTCTGCTGTGTTGAGAAGATCAATGTTACCTTCACGAAATTGGTTGGATTGGGAAGGAGACCAGTTGCACACACATGTGGGCCTGTTCTAGAGTTGCCAAGCACATATTTGTCATATATTGAGCTACGACATGAATTCGACAATATTTTACAAAACAGTGGGGATCACTGCATGGAGATGAACATTGCATGAATTATAGACAAAATGTCAAAATAGATTAAGGTTAAAGGTAAAGCCATCATGTAATTGAAGTTGTATTGCTTTAAAGCTCACCTTAGTAAGCTTTTCTGATCACATTTTGTTAGTCGTCGGTCTGTAAACTTTTCAGGTTTTTGACTTCTTCTCTAGAACCATGTGGCCTTTTTCAACCAAACTTGCAATAAAGCATCCTTGAGTCAAGGAGATTCAAGTTTCTTTCAAGTGAAGGGCCACACTCTCTTTCAAGGGGGAAATAAATGAAAATTCCATGGCATGTTTTAAAAATCTCTCAAGAACCAGTGGACCAGAAAGGATGAAACTAATATGTAAGCATCCTCATGTAGTGTAGACTCCAATTTGTTCAAATCATGAACCGAGGGGGGGGTGGGGTGGAGGGGGAATTGGGGCCTCAGTGAACGATTAAAGTTTTACATAGGAATATATATATATGAAAAATATACTCAAAATCAACAAAAACCAGAAGTCTCTGTCAAGACTGAAGCTCTACTGGTTTGAACTTATAGCAAAGGAAGAGAAAAGTCCTTAAGCAGCTGGGATTTGAAACTTTACAACAGCAATAAATAGAATAATGATTGTTGATAAAGTCTCTTTATGTTCTTAGTGTAGTCTACTTGTGTGCCAAGATATATTGAAATCAGACCAAAACTGTAGGAGGAGTAGCATTTTGAAACAATTTTACAGATATTTCTATTTTTAGTAACCATGGCAACACCGTTCATCGAAATCAAAAACCGATACACAGATTTATGTATCTTAGTGTAGTCTACTTGTGTGCCAAGTTATACTGAAATCAGACCAAAACTGTAGGAGGAGAAGCATTTTGAAAGAATTTCACAGAAATTTCTATTTTTAGTAACCACGGCAACACCGTTCATCGAAATCAAAAACCGATATACAGAATTATGTATCTTAGTGTATTCTACTTGTGTGCCAAGTTATACTGAAATCAGACCAAAACTGTAGGAAAAGTAGCATTTTGAAAGAATTTCACAGAAATTTCTATTTTTAGTAACCACGGCAACACCCTTCATCGAAATCAAAAACCGATATAAAGAATTATGTATCTTAGTGTATTCTACTTGTGTGCCAAGTTATATTGAAATCAGACCAAAACTGTAGGAGGAGTAGCATTTTGAAAGAATTTCACAGAAATTTCTATTTTTAGTAACCACGTAAACACCGTTCATCGAAAATAAAAACCGATACACAGAATTATGTATCTTAGTGTATTCTACTTGTGTGCCAAGTTATATTGAAATCAGACCAAAACTGTAGGAGGAGTAGCATTTTGAAAGAATTTCACAGAAATTTCTTTTTTTAGTAACCACGGCAACACCGTTCATCGAAATCAAAAACCGATACACAGAATTATGTATCTTAGTGTAGTCTACTTGTGTGCCAAGTTATATTGAAATTAGACCAAAACTGTAGGAGGAGTAGCATTTTGAAAAATTGTTTACAGACAGACGGACAGACAGACAGACGGACAGACGGACGGACGCCGGACGCATTACTATCGCATAAGCTCTTCTGGTCTCTGACCAGTAGAGCTAAAAATAGGCATGATTAGTCGCATTTATATAGATTCAAATTTGTTCACATCAGGAATCCCACGGGTAGGAATGTGTGACAATGGACAATCAAAGCAACCAATTATGTATTTAAGCTTTTCAATACTTGATTGTTTTTTTTTCTACCCTCAATACTCAGGTGAGCTATGTGGCCCATGGGCCTCTCATATTATAAGGGACTGACATCAGGTACATAATTTTTTTTTTAATTGCAAAAAATGCATGAACTCTGTTCAAATATTTTATGAATTTATGAGCATAATTAATCTGTTAGTCATGTGTAATTCTTGAAGTGTTTTATAACATGGAAAAAGTATAATGTGCATTTGTATGACATGTTTCTTTTATTTAGTTTTGCATGTTAAATAGCAAACTCTGTGCCAGTGTCACTTGACCTAGAATGTTTTATGTTAAATATTTTATCTGACAATTTATAGTCCTGACACTTAATGAAAGGATTACAGTTATAAGCTCAAATAAGCTCTTCAATTCACTTGTCTTGCATTTAATTTTAAACCAATCTCACATTTTACACTTTCTGTTCTAATTGCTTTTTTTCTAGAACAAATGTATTTATTTGAACCAAGTACAGCCTAGAACATTTTTAGGTGAAAAGGATCTTGAAAATGTTAAATTGAAAGATGACATGACTCCCTTCCCTTTCTATGAAAAGAAAAAAAATAGTGTGTGCTTATTAGGGCCCACTCTGCAGATACCCTATAGTGATTAGTCTGTTTGTTCTTCCATCTAAGACCTCTTGTCCAGAGCATATATTGTCTCCTTGGCCTAATCAGGCTCATACTTCACCCACAAAATGCATTCGAGTAAAGGGTGAGCAATGATTTTTAATCACGTTTCTAGGTCTAAGGTTAAGGTCATGCCATAATTAATTGAAAAATTCTTGTCCATAGCATATATCTCAGCATGGTCCAATGTGGTTCATACTTCATTCACAGAGTGCCACTGGTTAATGGATGAGCAGTGACTTTGAACAAAGTTTCTAGGTCAAATGTCAAGGTGAAAAATAGCCTCTTTGTTTAAAATCTGCTCGGTGCATAAATTCTTTCCCTAAGTCCAGTCAGCCTCAAATCATACCAATTGATGAGGTACAGAACATTTTTGATTTTCATATATATTAGTTTAATATTTCATTTCATCATACAAATACTTTTCTAATGTAGAAAAAAATTTCAGAGTAGTTTCTTTTTGTCACCTTTACATCAAACAACACGTTCCTTAATATTACACAAATGTTCCTCTTCAAAATAATTTATTGGAATAGACAATATTTTATAAGACTTCCTTACTTAAGAGATGTTTTATTCTGGTATATTGATTCTTGTTTCTTTGGAGGGATCATTTTTGTGTACAACAGCAGTTACAACACTTCACAATGCATGTACTTGTTATAATTTTAAATAGTAATATACATAGAAATATTCAATGTTTCTGTACATGTATTTGTTTCATTATTAATTTGATTTCATGTTACCTTTGCATATTTCTTTTAGGTTGAACAAACAATAACTGTCTAATGAGCTTTATGATTTATGTATGATATTTTGTTTTTTCATCTATTAATAATAAAGAATTATAAACTTTTCTAACAGAGTACTTTGACATGAAATTGTAAGGTTTGATATATTAAATCTCGCAAAGCTTTATAAAGTCTTGTTGCAGTCGCACTGTTTGTTGGGGGTTCCAAGTTATATTCTGTCATTAAAATACAACATAATTAAAAAACATCACTATCACATGGGAAAGATTCTTTATAAATGCACTCTTCTTGGCATATGCGGATCTTTTCCAAAGATACTGGACATGCATGGTTTTCTGTTCCATACAGATGAGGAATCTGATACATCGTAAGTGGTCTACCACTTGGTGCAACTTGATTTTGATTTCTTCGCATGCGGTGTGTGTTCCAGAGGTGAACAACTTCATTAAGTTCATCCTAAAACAAATGAAACTAAAGGAAATATGTTCATTTACATTGAAAATATTGTACAGGGATAAAGTTTTGATTAAGAAGAACTGGCCTCAAGACCTGATAAACTGAGAAGAGGCTTATGTCAGAATTTTGATTTTTTTAATATCTTGACTTGAATTCTGAGTAACATACATGTAATGTGCAAAAAAATTGCAAGTTTGTGTAATATACAAATTCACCCACATGTTGAAATTTTCAAATTATGAAGAAAATTGTATAGATTTAAAATTTTGTCTTAAGCTTGTTCTCAGCTTATTGTCTTGGACCAGACGTCAAGATAGTGTCTCGCTGTTCAGAGCCTTTAACTTCATGATTGACAGTGATAGTTTAGATTTAAGAATTGTATGGATAATTATGCTTGTCAATCTTTACACTGCTTTGCCTAGAGATCTGCTTAGGGAAGGAATTTACTTAAGGGTGCTTAACACAAACAAAAATTCAATGCATGGATTGATCTATATTTTTTCATTGATTTTGATTTGAAATGACCTAAATAAAAAAAACTACAGCTATTCGAGTTATTTTTATCAAACTTCAATAGCTGATAGATATATTTATGAAAGTTATTCAACTGTATCAACATTTTTTTTACCTTGACCTTTACTTAACTTTATAGGTCACCTCAGTTCACTCGGGTGAAATACCGGTATTGCCACCTGTCTTTAGCTCTTCTGAGCCAAAGGCTCAAAAGAGTTTATGCTATGGCCATAACTAAAGAACCCCTTGGCCAATCATTGTCAAATTTGTTACAGGGTATCCTTGGCCTAAGGGCTACCATTTATACTAAAATAAGGGTTGGAACCCTTAAACAAGGGGAGATAATCAGGAAAACAAAACCAAAAGTACTGCTTGCTAAAATTTGCACGGGAAATTACCCTGGGGCAAAGGGCGTGGTCTCAAGGTCACTTCAAAGTTGACCCAAATTACAATTAATAAAAACATTTATATTTTGCTTACTATAAGGACTAGGATCATCAAATCTTGTAAGTTGATGCATCTTTATAATTCACGTCATGTTAATTCAAAAGAAGGTCACGATGACCTACTTTTGACATTTTATGGCTATATTTAGGTATCTCAGATACTTATTGGCTTAGAATCATCGAACTTTGTCAGTTGATTGATCATGGGTTTTCAGAGAATGTAGATAAAAAAGTAGGTCAGGATGACCTACTTTTAAATATCTCAAATACTTATTGGCTTAGAATCTTCAATCTTTGTCTATTAATGCGTCTTGAGTCCTCAGAAAACTTCAATCTTAAAATAGGTCACTGTGACCTACCTATGTTTTTTTTTATAGCTTTATTAAAATATCTTCAGTCCTAATTGGCTAAGAATCATCAAACTTTGTCAGTTGATGGAACTTGGGTCTTGGGATACTTAGAGTTAAAGGCTTCAAATAGAGGTGATAGATAATTTATCGGAAGAGTAATTCAAGGCCTGTTGGCTTCTTGTCTTATATTGTGCGCCGTTCATTGTGTGTTAACATTTTAACATTTTCAGCTTCACTGGAACCACTGAACCAACTTCATTCTATTTTGGCATTTAGCATCTATGGGTGAAGGGGAGTTTAAATTTTGAATTACATCCCCCCCGGGCGTGTATTAAAATTAAGACAGTCTTTAAAAATCTTCTTTACTCCGGGACAACAAGCAGCCAAATTGTTTTTAAGGTTGTAATTAGCTTTGAAACCGCTTCCAAAATTGTGAAATTCATGGCCCCAAGGTCAGGGTTTTGGTGTTTAAAGGGCAGGGTTCTAATTAATGATATATAGTGAAAATACAATAATTATTTGAAAATATTCTTTTAGCTTTATGAAAACAATCTACATGCATAGTTATGATGAGGAAGGTTGCCTCGACCAAAATTGTGAATTTCATGACCCCTGGGTCAGGGGTTCTGGTATTGGGATGGGGCTCTAGGGAGAAATTTGGCTCTGGTGTGAGATTTCCCCTCGGGGGAAAATCTAGGCCTACACTAGAGTACGATTTTCGGAGGTGGGGGGGGATGGCTATGGGGGAAATCCTACTCCACAAACGTTATTCTCACAACATTGTCAATAGAATTTTGTAGTACATAGATAAGATCTATAAATTCAAAATGTAGACATACCATACCTGAATTAATCGCATAAAACAAAACTGAATCAAATTTTTATCCAGAAAGTTTCCGGTGAATTCGTCTTCTTCTTTCAGGCCCTTAAAAAGAGACATCCAAAATTGTGCATTATGGCTTCTTAGGTATGACCACCAAGCTTCTATTCTTTGGTTATGGTTACTAGAACCATATAAAAATGATCGGCTCGCGAATTCATCTAAATGTTCATATCGTAAAAACTTTTGCATCTGTTCCATGTGGCCATTTTCAGTTCCTAGATCTGCTCTAATTCTCTTTGGACATCCCGTCCTTGATTCCACAGCTTTTATGAAGTATCCAGCTATCAGAGCTGGTTTACTGTTAGTTTTGTATGCTTCTAGCCATATCATGCATCTAGAAAAACCGTCGATGCACCCATTGATGCAAATACCAAAAGGTTTGAGTTTGTCGTAAGAATCGACGTGCCAATGAAATTTGGCCCAGGATTAGTGTATGTACGCCGTCTCAATCGTCCTCGCTTTCTTATCTGAACACCTATAGGATCAATTATTTTCAGTAAAAGCCTAACAGTTTCTTGTGTCACTGTATAACCAGATTGTAAGCACTGAAGATGCATTAATCTGTATCCATGAAGTTTTTCTGCTGTGTCCATTTTACTCTCGAGAAATAGAGCAACCTCAAGCAAATCTGAGAAATTTTTTCTTCTAAATAATCCTGCACCGTGTAACATTCTTTTAAGTGTCCTTTTACTTATCACTATTTGACTAAATTGTGCCAAATATTTCAAAATTTCATCATTATTGAATCCAAGAGAATGGAAAAATGCTACCTCTTGCAGTACTTCCTGCTGATCCATCATTGACATCAGATTTGACTTAAATTACTATAAAGTTCCCAAAAAACACTTTCATTTGTCCGAACGAATTTCTTATTTGTCCGAACGAATTTTTAATTTGTCCGAACAAATATTTAATTTGTCCGAACGAATGTTTAATTTGTCCGAACAAACATTTAATTTGTCCGAACGAATATTTAATTTGTCCGAACGAATTTCTAATTTGTCCGAACGAATATCTAATTCGTCCGAACAAATAACTAATTCGTCCGAACGAATTTCTAATTTGTCCGAACGAATATCTAATTCGTCCGAACAAATAACTAATTCGTCCGAACGAATTTCTAATTCGTCCGAACGAATATCTAATTCGTCCGAACAAAAACCTAATTTGTCCGAACGAATATTTAATTTGTCCGAACAAATAACTAATTCGTCCGAACGAATATCTAATTCGTCCGAACAAATAACGAATATTTAATTTGTCCGAACAAATAACTAATTCGTGAATCTAATTTGTCCGAACAAATAACTTATTTGTCCGAACGAATTTCTAATTTGTCCGAACGAATATCTAATTCGTCCGAACAAATAACTAATTCGTCCGAACGAATTTCTAATTTGTCCGAACGAATATTTAATTCGTCCGAACGAATTTCTAATTTGTCCGAACGAATATCTAATTCGTCCGAACAAATAACTAATTCGTCCGAACGAATTTCTAATTTGTCCGAACAAATAAAAATAATTTTTTACCTGGCCCTCCAGCGGCGCCGTAAAAAATAATTTAATCTATTAAAAATAATCTAACTGACTGTAAAATAACATTTTTCATAATCTTAATCTATGGGCAGATCACTCTAACTTCATAAAACTTAGTCTACCTGATATTAAAGTAGAACTCTTTAGTGTGCAGTTTTTAGAGCTTCCTTTAAGTAATCAAAATACTGACCAGCAAGAAATCAGTTAATAAGCATTTCCTTTTTTTTCATTCAAATTTTTGGAGAGATCTCAGAGTTTTTCCCTGTTCAATTCAGGTCCAAGACGACAAAGTTTTATTGAAGTGTATGTATTAGAGAACTGATTGTATGTCAATCATAGCAATACACACATAACATGGAGGGGGCAAATTGTTTCAGCCCTTGCTTTTACATAAAACTTCTTGTAGCTCACAGCTGATATACCACAGTTCAATATTTAAATAAAATTTAGAATCTTTTTTTTTTTCAGGCAATTGTCATATACATACTAATCATGAATGAATTACCACTTACCAAATGACCACATCCTGAATCATCATACATTTTCTATGATTTTATCTCACTGGTTTTCTTTTAAAGTCACACAGTTTTCGTCTCTCTGAAATGATAAATTATGTCCAGGTACTACTGCATTCTAATTTAAACTAATTATGTAATAGCATTAGCAACAACCGGGATGGAAGAAAAAATAACCAGAAGTCTCTGTCGAGACTGTAGCTCTACTGGTTTGTACTTATCAAAAACTGATGCACAGAATTATGTATCTTAGTATAGTCTACTTGTGTGCCAAGTTATATTGAAATCAGACTAAAATTTAAGGAGTAGTGTTTGCAGACAGACGGACAGACAGACATCACATCCTGTATCAGACCTTCGACCAATATCAGCCCTAGGGCCTCTGTCCCTCTGGCTGATATTGGTGTCTCGGGCTAGGATGTGATATGGAAAAGAGTATGTATTATTCGCTATACATTGACCTACTCAGGTCAATAATTGTGAATTCAGAAAAAACTGATAATTCAAGCTGATGATTCATTTGCATTTCTTGACATACTATCAATATTAATTCACTATTAGGCTTTTCTTTTTTTACATCTTCATCTCAACAGGTTAGACATTACCAAAAAAAAAATCTTTTGAGCAGTAAACTATTTCAATAAACAATAAAACAAACCTAATATCTTCAGAAAAGTTGACAGGCTTTCACCTACATTCACTTTTTTATGTATATTTTTCCTCTATATCATCGTCATGCATATGATGAAGGGTTATGCTACAGTATTGACTACAATCTATTCCAACTGTTCTGATGAGGATATCCTTCATGAATAATCGGATAAGCTGAGATTGAAGACACTTTTTTGTAAAAATATCGATGCTTTTATCAAAGTTTTGAACCAAAAATATTTAATTTATACCTTGCCATAAGTCGTAAGTTCCAAAAAACAAGAGTTGGCTATCCGAAAAGTCAAAAACACATGTATTCAAACCGGATGTTCTACAGTCTGAATTTAACTACGAAACCATGCTCGGTGTAACTATTATCATCCGGATAATTTGAGCGGGGTGAAAAATATTTTTTTTTAATTCCGAAAAGTATTCATTTATATATAGAGAGAGAACATACATATGGAGCATACGTTTTAATAAACATGATAAAAGGCGAATCGTTGCCATTTTACAACATACAGCATGCACATGCACGGTGCCTTTGGGGCCTCCATAATCTAAGTTATGCTATATCACTGTCTCAAATCTCTGTCTCTCCCTCTCTCTCTCTCTCTCTCTCTCTTTCTCTGTAATATATACACTTAACAATTTAAAACTTAGGTATCCAACTTTTCAAAATGGCGTCAGAACAAAAGTTGCCTCCGATAGTGAAGATTTGTTGTTGCCAAATATTACAACTATTTACCGTAAAAAGTTAACAAAAATATACGTACACTTATCCTTCATCGTTGGCCATTGCATTTATCACAGTCTTAAAGACACTGGGTGGTGAAACCATCTTATCTTTTCACATTTACCAGCTGCTTACACCTTCTTCTTCGTCCTTCTCGATCCTCCAAAAATGGCGCCTCGGGAAATTGACCATAAAATAAAGCGCCTACAGAGCGACGCAGGATGGGAAATATAAACTGTGTACATTCACTATGATTAAATGTGATTATGAGATCTTATATTAGAATTTAATTAAGTTTTCCCCTTTTCATGGAATAAAAAGAGGGGCTCCTAAATATTTTTGCCGATATGATGTGTAGGCCTAGTATATTTAGAAAAAAAAACGGTTAAATACATGAGGCAAGAGCAGAGAAAAAAATGTTTCTTGCTTGACACCTCAACTTATTTGCCTTCGGGATATGGGTTTCGGGGCTTGGTTGTTGGTAGTGGCCGTCCTAGTTGAAAGTACCCCCCCCCCCCTCTCCCCGCTTCTTTTAACTGTTACATGTATGATTATGAATTTATAATGTCACACCAAAAGATGTTAAATTTTTAAAAGCACATTTTTTTATTGTGAACTTTCCACAGGAATCCTAAAAGGCATGAAAATGAGCTACAATTATAATATGATTATCAAGAACAGTTGTTGTGTTTTTTTTGGGGGGGGGATTAAATTACTAATTGAACTCCCTCCTTTTCGGGGTTTAATTACATTTTGAGCCTGCTATCAATATTACTGGTGGACCTGCTAGACTTTTCTCTAATTGCTACATGTACATTGTACTTTAAACTCCTTGGCCTTTAGCTAAAAAAAATTTCCCACATCATTTTAACACATAAAATTGTTAAATGTATCAGAATGTTGAAAACCTTTTTCTTAGGAGAGTACTATCTATAGGTGGAACAAAACTAACATCTAATCAAAGGCAGGAAAATATAACAGTATTTTAATTCAGTATTTCAGTCGTGATTGGTATAAGTGAAGTCATGGGAAAGATTATGTCGAAAGTCATCTATACTCGTTGATGTGCAGGGGTGTACTTATGCATACAGCTTTAGCTGGTCCCGCCCTGTATTTCTTTAATGTTTTTTTTTTCGTTAAGAAATCTGGTAAGGTATGCTAGTAAAAATAAAATCCCGGTTAGTTTATTACTCTAACGGAAATTACTTTCCTACAGGCCTGAAGATCGAGTCTATTAGTCACGCAAGTTTGTTTTTTTTTAAAAAGAGTAGCATGTCGGCGAATAAAAATAAAGTAGTGTACAACATAGATAAAGAAATGTTTGTTGAAGTATTGACAAACTTCATACCTTTATAGAATGAAATCAACAAAAACTGCACAAAAATACAATCGTGACAATTATACAATGGATTAATTATACAATTGATTCTTTTAATAGATTGCCTTAGCATGCACTACTTTAAAAGCCATTGTTCTTAAGGAAAACAAAATCATGCAAAATATTATAGACTTTTCTTTATCTAGAGCAATCATGGCCTTTGGAGAAAAAAAATGGCTGAAAATTTTAAAGTTTGTTAAATATAATGTATGTACATTTAGGACCCTACATTGTAATTTCATGCGAAAAGTGCAGGCGTTTACTACTCGGGGATCTGCGTACATATTTAAACAAAAAAAGGGAAAGAAAAAAAACGTTTTATGTGATGAATTATATTATAAACATTTATCTAGTAAATGTCTTTGTAGTACGTTAGATTACAAATCTCACACAAAAAAACCATCAACAATATTGAATACAGTTTTGATTTCACATTGATCTATTAACGTCATTCTGATTTAATATAATTATACACGACGAGAATTAAGATCTATTCAGTACCTATAGAAAATTATTTAATTTCTAAAGAGGATAGTTTTATTTTAAATCAGTAATGAAAATTGAAATAAAAATTCTAAATAGTTTGTTCTTTCATTGAACTTCTTAAATGTACGTTATTTTATAAATATGTTCTCTTGTGTAACTTTATTTATGGAATATACAATTTTTTAAATGATAAAAGAAACACGAATCATTCATCTTAATTTAAAAGAATTTTCTGTCGGAGACTGTGTGTGTACATGCTCGACAACAGCCCATTGTTCCCTTTAGGTACAAAACCGTCTCAATTCACATAGAATATACAAAAAATACACAGTGACAGGTGTCTTCGCGGCACGTGTCTTCACCTGAAATGGCACGTGAGGACAGGTGTCCCTAATTACACAGGCCGACCATAGTGACTTTTTCAAAAGCGTTTTTTTTTTTGGGGGGGGGGGGGGGGCTTATCAAGGAAAAAATGAAAAGCAACCCACCCCCCCCCAATAATAAAAATAATAAATTAATAGATTAAAAAAAAAAAACAATATTCACTATTAATAGTAAAATACTAGTATGATAATACTCAACCCCCAGCCAATTCGATGAATGATTCTTATCTTAATATATTAATTTATATTAAAACAAAATCTTTATCACTTTCTAAACTTGTATTTATAAACTTGAAACACTAAAAATGTAATTTTGACAAACCAACTGAAGAATTTTTTTTCCTGACGGATTACCCCGGTATATAAGAAATGCCAACCTCTGGTATCTAACACAAATGCCTGGTAAGGTACCTTGACGTCTTGTGAATACATGTAATCATATAAAAATAATTCTTCAATGTCAATTGCAAAATATTGGGGAAAAAAAATTAATTATTTTATTGAGGAACGCCTCACCTGTCCTTAATCAGTAATCGTAACTTGACATATTTCTTTATTTACTTTTCATCGATCTTTTTAGTAAACCTTGTCTGTAAATAATTTCATTAAATGTACCCTTCCTTAGCTCTTCCATTTTTTCAAAGGAACATTCATCATAGACAGCTTCAAGAAAGTGGGATCGGAAATGATTGATTTCTACATAACTGCATGCACTTAATTTTTTCTATTCCACTTCACGCATTCTATACGAGTTTACCAAAACTTATGTGATAAATCAAATTCAAAATTAAATTAAATTAAATAAAATTCAGTTAAATAAAATTAAATTAAAATTGAATTGCGTTCACGGTGCTGAAATATTAAATTAATCACACAGAAATACACATCTAGTTATTTTAACTGTTTGAAGTTAATTATTTTGATACAGCATGTAAACACTTTTGAAATAGTTCTATAAATGGTAAAAATATGGTAACATAATTAAATATTTAACTTTGTGTAAAATAAAAGGTAGGTGGGTTAGTATTGAGATATACTTTCAAAGTTTTCCTGCATGGGAAACATGGGGAAAACTACACATTGGTGACTTCCATGTCGGGAATCTGTATGGAAACCACTGAGGCATGTTTACATGGTTTCCTATCTTGGGAAACTTACGGGAAACCACAGGTTGGATGTTTCCATATCGGGAATCTACATGGAAACCACCGGGGCATGTTTCCATGGTTTCCTATCTTGGGAAACTTACGGGAAACCACAGGTTGATTGTTTCCATGTCGGGAATCTATGTGGAAACCACCGGGGTATGTTTCCATGGTTTCCTATCTTGGGAAACCACAGGTTGATAGTTTCCATGTCGGGAATCTATGTGGAAACCACTTTGTGGTTTCCATAAAATGGAAACTATATGGAAACTACTGATGTCACGATTCCCATATGTTTCCATCGGGTTTCCAAATTTGGGAAACCTGGCTTTTCATCCTGTGAAAACTTTTAATTTGGATCAATTCATTGACACTTTGTACAGGTTACAGTGTTCAGCCACAGGTTTCATTATTTAGTTTTGGCTGACTTCTTTTCAAACAATGGTTTGGCGTTTGTTTTATTATTAATTTGACTACAGAATGTTACATGGGAATCACAGCGTGTATAAGTGGTAAAAAGGTGATGCTTACTTCCACCAGGCAAATGATCTAACCCCTGGAAAATTTAGAGGTCCATGTTTTATACCATCTTTACGATTTTGTATTGTTTATTGATTTTTTTGAAATCGATTACAGTTCATTATTTTCCCTCATTTCAGTTATAGTGATAAAAGCTTTAGGATTTTATTTGACAGGAAGGCGAAGAACAAGCAGCATAATGTCTGGTATGTCTAGCTTTGCCTCGATCGCTATGATAGGAGCTGTTGGAAGTCAACCCGACCTGGCCCGCGAATCTTCTTCTGAAGAAGAGGATGATATTCCATCTCCTACTCCATCTCAGATTAAAGAAGCTAACCATTTGCTAAGATCTGTATCTACAGCCAGCAGTTTTCTAGATGGAGGAATGTCCGACACTGTTACATTTTCCCTTTCACCTGATCCCACCGGTCCTAACGGCCAAGCAAATCCTGTATTTACCTTTGAAGTTGACGCACCGTCCAATAATTCCACAACGAAGGTTGGCTTATCAAAATTAAATACATTAAATATGTTATATGACATTTATCATGTAGGCTTTTGAAATCGAATATTTACTTCTTTCTGTTTTTGCAGGGAGATTCAACAAAGCTGTGAAGAGAACATATTGTTTGCTGTCTGTGATATTTTGTTGTATTGGATGAAACTGTTACAAATTATTGTCGTTTATAACCATTAAAATGTACTTCAGGCTTGCAATGTAGTAATTGATGAGTCTTCGTCCTTCGCTCTCTCTTTCTCAGTTTTACTCTCAGACCACACGATGGTACATGAGGTACAAGAACATATTTTCATATATTTTTTCTGTTTGTTTTCTCTGTGATAACTTCGAAAGTTAATGGAATTGATTTCTTGATAATTCTACCGGAATATAAATTAGGCAAATCGATAGTTCAAGAGCTAAGGAGGCCTTATATGCATGTAAATCTCGTGCGCGTCTGTTGTTGTGTCTGCCGCTAAGTAGGCCAAATATGCAAATAAATCTCGAGCTGCTGTCTTCATGTTTGACGTCAGTGGACGAGGACTATTGAAATTGACATGGGAGGCCTCGTGCAATGTAAACTATTTGTCTACATTTATGAAATCTAAATCTGCAATATAATTTCACAATAAAATGGAAATATTAGGAATCACTGTCTAGTTAGTATAGTACGCCAGGGACATCACCGATAGTGGGAAACGTGGGATAACTTGTGAAGCCCGTTATGCAAATTATCCCACGTTTCCCACTATCGTTGATGCCCTGGCATAGTATACTAACTATTCAGTGATTTCTTAAATAAACAAAATACAAAGTTAAGTAAGGAAGAGTAGTGTCATATATAAGAAATATTACTGAAAGCAGGCAAATATCCTTTTAGCAAAGATAAATGCAAATTAAATATACAGTTATTATTACCCAAAGTAGGGTTTTTCGCACAAGAAATACGATTGTGAAATACAAAACCCCTAGCACCATCTATTCAAAAGTTATAGTCGAGGATAAATTTTTGAAAGGTAGGTCAAACTCCAAGGTGAAAGGTCTGAGTTGTTGGTTTCTTAAGAAAGGTCTTGTCACAAGTAATACATATAGGAAGGATGAAAACCCTAACCCTAACCGTTCAAAAGTTATGTCCAAGGATAAAGTTTTTTAAAAGTAGGTCAACTCCAAAGTTAAGGTCAAAGGGTTAAAGTTCTTTGTATCCAGTGAAAGGTCTTCTCACATGGAATACATATGTGAAGTATAAAAGCCCTAGTTCTTAGCATTCAAAAGTTATGGTCAAGGTTAAAGTTTTTCAAAAGTACGTAAATCTCCTAGGTTTAAGGTCAATAGGTCAAGTTTGTTGGTATCCAATGAAAGGTCTTGCCACAAAGAATACATATGTGAAATATGAAAGTCCTAGTTTCTACCGTTCAAAAGTTATGTCTAAAGTTAAAGTTTTTTAAAAGTAGTTAAAACTCCAAGGTCAAGGTCAAAGGGTCAAAGTTCTTGGTATCTAATGAAAGGTCTTCTCACAGGGATTACATATGTGAAGTACAAAAACCCTAACCGTTCAAAAGTTGTGGTCAAGGTTAAAGTTTTTTCATAAGTACGTAAATCTTCAAGGTCAAAAGGTCAAAATTGTTGGTATCCAATGAAAGGTCTTGTCACAAAGAATGCATATGTGAAATATGCAAGTCCTAGTATCTACCGTTCAAAAGTTGTGACCAAGGTTGAAGTTTTTTTAAAAGTAGTTAAAACTCCAAGGTCAATGTCAAAGGGTTAAAGTTCTTGGTATCCAATGAAAGGTCTTCTCACAAGAATTACATATGTGAAGTATGAAAGCCCTAGCTCTTACCGTTCAAAAGTTATGGTCAAGGTTAAAGTTTTTCAAAAGTACGTAAATCTCCTAGGTTTAAGGTCAGTAGGTCAAGTTTGTTGGTATCCAATGAAAGGTCTTGCCACAAAAAATACATTTGTGAAATATGATAGTCCTAGTATCTACCAAAGTACCAAAAGTTATGGCCAAAATAAAAGTTTGGAATTTTTGTGTAAAAGTCGGTTAAACTCCAAGGTCAAGGTCAAAAGATCAAATTTGGTGGTACCCAAAGAAAGGTCTTGTCACAAGGAATACACATGTGAAATATGAAAGTCATAGCTCCACTAAATCAAAAGTTATGGGCAAGGTTAAAGTTTTTGTGACGGACGGACAGACTGACGGACAGACGAATAAGATTTAATATCCCCTCGCGAAAGCGGGGGACAATAAGCAAACCTTCAGAAAAGCGTTTATTCAGAAAGCTATCCATTATGTATGTCAACTTACTCTCATGCGACTTCAAACGTTTAGCCCAATAAGTAATTTTTCGTACCTCTATACATATTACATGTATTAAAGGATAACGCCCAATTTCCCAAAACACCATACAATTTGGAGTACTGGACTTGACAAGTTAAACACATTTCAAAAATTTTAAATTTGTAACTTTTCTAAGATATCTATGTTTTC